GGGGTAGCAGCGCCCTCACCGTTGCCGGGCGACTCTCCCTTCGGCCCTCAGAGTCACCAGCCGGTCCCTTCGACGCTTTCCCTTCGAGGGCCCGGCACGGACGGGCCTCGCTCGGCTCTTCAGGGCTGGTCCCTCAGCGGCGACAGCCGGCGGTAACAAGCGTGAACCTGCCGTCCCGGTCCCGGCGCCGCCCCTTGAGGCTTAATGTGCTTTTTAAAAATAACCGTTTCCGACACGCGCGCTCACACACATCCACGCACGCACGCACCCCAGATATCCCAACCTTCTCCCCTGAGGCACCTTCCACCCGTTACTTGGGAGGAAACGACGGTATCGAGAAGGGAAGTGACAGTAGAATGGACCTGCCCGCCCTCCAGCCAATAGGAAGTGACGAAACACAGTACAGGCGCGGCCTACAGAAGAGTCAAGGTGCGTAGAACAAGCTAGCGATATTCCAACTCGCCAGTAGGTGGCAGTAATATGGCATCCCTCCCTGTCTCGCCATTGACTACAGTACGTACTAGAAGCAGCGGCAATGGTCGAGTGGGTGTGGTCGGCCGGAAAGGAGGAAGAAAGGACTAGAACCGGATGGTAACGAAGTGCTATATGGGAAGCAGCAAAGGTTTACAAACGTTATGTCACCGCTATGGCGGAGTTCTTGTATGCCTGACAAATATTCAACAGGTGGGTGCAGGCTTCTCTGCAGGAATGACAACTCATGCCATACTTTTTCTTTAAAAATTGGTTGTTTTCTTGAATTAATGCTACTAGAAACCTAATCGGGCTCAAGGCATTTTTATTCTCACCTTGGGACACAAGGGTAGGTGCAAATGGCTTGTGTTTACACGAGTGCAACTGATTTAACAGTGTTATGCTCTGAATTAAATATGTTGGTTGCAACTTTATTGAGCAAAAAAACTGGTGGTTTTGCAGGAAAACTTGTTTACACAAGTTGAGCCTACAAGAATCTGCCTTATCACAGTTACAGGTCAGAGGATTTGTGACTGGCTCAACAACTAAGCCTAGAACGTGACAGAAAAGATAAGAGTTTTCTCCCATGGATGTAGAAAGCAATTTCATAGGAATCTGAAACCAGCATGGGGCTAAAATTAGGACTAGCAGAAAGGGGTGACAAGCACAAGTGCTAAAATGCCTTACCCATCTACCTCTGACTTCCTTGCTTCTCATCTTCTATAATTATAATAGCAGTATTACTGCCCCGTTCTCGTCTCCAACAAGTGTCAAGTCCACTTGACAAGACAATTGTTAAGACACTTTCTTGCAAAAGCAGGGAAATTGCAATTAGGAGGTACCCAGGATAGCAAAAGAGAGGTTACCTACCTGTAACCATGGTTCTTTGAGTGGTCCTCTGTGAATCCACACAAATGGAGTAAATAGCCTTTGGAATAGCTTCCCTTCTGAGATTTTTATGGCCCTTTCGCTGGGCATTTTCAAAGGCCAACTGAAAACCTGGCTATTTCGGCAAGCCTTCCCTCCAGCCACCTCTTGATTTATTTTGTTCTTTCATCTTGAGTCCTTGTCTATTGATGTATTATTTGTTTTATATTTTAAATGGTTTATTTTATATGTTGTTAGCCTCCAAGAGTAGTCAGTTGACTAAATGGGTGGGGTACAAATTCAATAAATAAATAAACTGATTTTACTGCTCCTGCGCAGGACTCCTTGGATTATTCTAGAGCTTAAAAGTGTGTGATTAGTAGCATGTTGCCCCGTGGCGCATGGTCCACTTGCCTATAACACCTCAATTCCGAAATGTCCGCCGCTGTCAAGGCTTGACTCCCACAAAGCTCAAGACACCAGGTGACGGACAGCGGGGAGGATGGGCGGGATGTGTGGATTTACTGAGGACCACTCGAAGAACCATGGTTACAGGTAAGTAACTTCTCCTCTTCGTGGCCTCTGTGAATGCGCACAAAGGGGTGACTAGCAAGCTCACTTATCGGAAGGAGGGCTGTCACGACAACAATGAAGTCAGCACAGCCCTTCCAAAACATGCTTCTTTTTTGGCCCTGATGTACAGATGATAATGTGTCACAAAGGTCGAGGGTGTAGACCAAGTAGCCGCTCGACAGATGTCAGGGACCTCAATGCCACGCAACCATGCCATAGACATAGACATAGCTCTCATGGAGTGCACCTTTAGCATCTCTGGCGGAGTCTTGCCTGTCAAATCATAAGCCAAAGTAATGACAGAGACAATCCACCTTAAGACTGTCTGTGAGGAGGCAGGAGAGCCCTTTCATGGGCCATGGAAGTACACAAAATTCTGGGGGAACTGCGGAATTCCTTAGTCCTGGAAATATAGAATGCTAAGGCACGACGAACGTCAAGGGAGTGGAACATGCGCTCAACATGAGAAGAGGGATTAGGAAATAATGTTGGAAGAATTAGAGGTTGATTAACATGGAAATCAGAGATCACTTTGGGAAGAAAGGACACATCTGGATATAAGAGAACTTTGTCAGGATAAAATTGAATGGTCAAACAGATAATGAAAGAACTGGAGAAGAGTGTCCAAAGAGACACAAACCGTGGGTAGTTTTCGCGATACAACAAACTTGATGAAAGCTTTCCACTTATACAAATACAGTAATTGGGTAGAAGGCTTCCTAGCCCTATTTAAGACTTCAACCACATTGGGGGAATTCTCTACGCAGTGAGGTGTAGAGAGTCAAAGTCGGGATGACAAATCCGACCTTTGTCCTGGGTCAGAAGGGACAGTTGACGAGGTAACTTCAGGAAGTCGCTAGCCATGGCTCTGAGAGTGGTGAACCACTGTTGTTAAGGCCACTGTGGTGCTACTAGAATGGCATTGGAGTTCAGCTGACGTACCTGACTATCGTTCGCTGGATAAGTGAAATGGGAAGAAAGAGATAAAGGGGACTGTTGCCCCAGTCCACCATGAAAGCGTCGCCGAGAGAGTTCGCTCCTCTTCCTGCCCTTGAGCAAGTACCTGCTGCATTTGGAGTTGACCTGGGTGGCAAGGACGGCGAGACCTTGAATCCCCCACCGACTGCAGAGAAAAGCGAAGACGGTGTCATTGAGGGCCCACTCGTGAGTCTGGGTGGTAAGACAGTTCAGACGGTTGGCGACCTCGTTCTCTGTAGCCACGTGAAGGGCCACCGGAAATACATGGTGACCATAACACCATTCCCATAGCTGAACTGCTAGATATAGAAGATTTAAAGAATGGGTGCCGCCCTGTTTGTTGATATAATACAGGGTGGTCATGTTGTCCATGATGACTTGGACTCCGCAACTAGCTATGAGAAGATGGAAGGCTCTGCAGGATTTGATGACTGCAAGCAACTCCAGGTGATTGATGTGCAGCAGTCTTTCTGAGCTTGACCACAAAGCATGGATCTTCCAATGACTGCAATGTGCACCCCATCCTATCTGACTGGTGTTTGTTGTGACCTGTACCGTGAGCTGGAGAGGCCTGAATAGGCAGCCCACCAGTAGGTGAGGGACGAAGGTCCACCAGGTAAGTTGGCGAGCTAACTCCGGGATCATCAGTAGACGCTTGGAAGGATGGTCTATCAGAGGGTCGAACTGGGATAGGTATCAGGCCTGTAAGAACCGCATCTTCAGTCTCGCATGTTGGAGTACAGACGTAGTTGAAGCCATCAGACCTAGCAGGTGTTGTATATGGTGAGCCGTGACTATGGCGCAACGTCAAAAGGGGCGAATGACTCGCCTTGAGTATTCTCTCTGGAGGGGTAAACACCCTGGCTACGATGGAATCGAGATGCATCCCAATATAATCCGTGGTCTGAGATGGCTCAAGACAAGATTTTATGTAGTTTACTTACAGGCCAAGATCTGCCAGAGTCTATAGAACAACGGTAGTGTCCCTTCAGGCTTCGCTGCATGATCGTGCTATTATCTACCTATATGGTAAGGAAATATATGGAAATATTGTGATATTGTGCAGACAAAGATAGGCAGCAACTGGAGCCAGACACTTTGTGAAGGTCCTCGGAGCAGTGGACAGGCCAAAAGTAAGGGCACAAAACTGGTAAGCAATGTCCATGAAGAGAAAACAGAGATATTTGAAACAGTGTTCGTGAATTGAAATATGAAAATATGCGTCCTGGAGATCTATAACCATGAACTAGTCGCCTGGTTGAAGCAGAGGAATGACTGATTTGAGAGTGACCATGCGAAAATGCCTCAGATGAATGTAAGTGTTGAGAAGTCACAGGTCTAAAATGGGACGGAGACCTCCCTCCTTTTTGGGAACCATGAAGTGCAGAATGCGGCAGCCAGACTACTTAGTGGAATGAAAAAATACCAGCATATCTCACCCACTCTGGCCGCATCGCATTGGCTGCTCATCCGGTTCCACATCGACTTCAAAGTGTTGATGCTTACGTACAAAGCCCTAAACAGTTTAAGGTCTCGATACCTGGCAGAACGCCTACTCCCACCAAGATCTACCCGTGTCACTTGTGTGAGCCAGGAGGTGAGGCTGAGGAGCCTAACGCCGAGGGAGGCCTGGAAGGAAAAGACAAGAAATCGGGCCTTCTCGACGGTGGCCCCTCGCCTCTGGAACAACTTACCTCCTGAGATTTGCATGGCCCCCTCGCTGGGTATCTTTAAGAATCAATTAAAAACATGGATGTTTCGGCAGGCCCTTCTTCCTCCCCTTGTTTGCTCCCAGTTTTTGAAATATCTATCTTTATGTATAATTGTTCTATATATATATATTTATTGTCCTATTTTTATGCTGTTAGCTGCCTAGAGTGGTCTTAACCAACCAGATAGGCGGGATATAAATGAAATAAATAAATAATAAATAAATAACGTGACTAGAAACTGTTCAGAACATCTTGCAGAGGCACTCTCTGGACTGCATGTTTTTAAAGGAGTGTAACCACATCCTCTAGAGCAAGTGAGTACGTTGTGGGTCTGACATGACCAAGAGGATGAAGCTCCTTGAATTCCAATAGGTAACCAAAACGTATGATGGCAAGCAACCAAGTGCCCTTGGTGATGGTGGGCCACTTGTTTGAAAAAGGGAGCCAGCTGGGGATGGCGGGGATAGCCCAGGAGAGGAGAGTCAAAAATATTGTTTATTTTTTCTTGTAGGGCGATGGAAACCTTGTCTGCGTTGAGCAGGGACCTGGGACCGGAAAGGAGGAGCAGAAAAGGAAGGCTGAGAAAAGTTGGATCTCTCAGGAGCCTGAGCCAGAGGTTTGTAAGAGCGATAGGGATGTTGGTGTGACTGATGGAAAGTGAAAGGCATACACCATTGATTGTGTTGGTATCTGGGCTGTTGAATGGAGTAAGAGCGGGCAGTCTTACGAATTTTATGCAAGTTTTCTATTTTGAAGCAGTGTCAGCCATGTGGCAAGATGCCAAACGCTGTTGTTTAGCCAAAGTAGTGGCCTCAAGGTGGGTGTTCAGAGCACTGGTTCTAATCTCTTCCAGAGCAGCTTATTCCACAGTTGCCTGTGGTAGGCCCCCATTACGGCCTGATAGTTTGAGACCCTCATAATGAAGGAAGCCACAGAATATAGACAACCCAGTACATCCAGTTTCCTTCCATCCTTGTTAGTAGGAGTGACTGAGGACCGATTGCCTTCTTGGGACTGATTTGATTGCACAATAATGGAATTTGGTGGTGGTTGTTTGATTAGGAACGCTGTATCAGTGCTGTGAGTGCGGTAGTGATTCTCCACCCGTCTCAAGATCTGTAAGGACACTGATGGTTTGTCCCAAGATTCCTTAATAAGGTCCAACATGGCTGGGATGAGTGCCAAACTTAATGGAGGAGATTTTTCTTGATTAATGTCATCAAAGACAAAATCATGTTTGGGAGGAGATGGCTGTTCAATGTCCAGTTCCAACTATTTAGCCATGCGAAGGATGAGCTGTGCGTAAGAGGTAAAGTCCTCAGATGGAGATGGGGGATGAACATCTGCAACATCAGAATCTGGGGTTGGCAGGTTTGATGGGGACTCCCTGGATGACTCAGAGGAGGGAACATGATCAGAAACTGTTGATGCCAAAGATTCTTCAGAGATGGAAAGAGCTGGAGAGGGAGAGCATTGATGACGTTGAGAAACAGAAACAAGAGGGGTTGGTGCTGGAACCTGATGGTCGGAGCAGGATCCAGACAGAGAAACAGATTGGTGCAAGGTCAAAGCTGTCGGTACCATAGAAGAGCGCTGTTTAGATGGAACAGATTGGTGTCAAGTAGATTTGTGTCAAGACTGGATAGGGTCATGACGGGGTACTTCTGCACTAGTCAAATGGTGTCTGGAAGATTTCTTAGACCTTGGCACCATTGGAGAGGGCTTGCAACTGGCTCGGTGTTCACTCTGAACAGGAGGCAGCAACGGCGACGAAGATTATTCAGAAGGGGCATAAGCATATCGACCGTGTTTGGGACGCTCATGATACTCAGGAACAAACCTTGGGTCATACTGGTCAAATCAGTATCGGTGGCGATCACCATGTCCAACAGTGTCATAAAGGAGCTCTCCATATTCAGGAAGAGCATGACATTGAGATGGGCGTGGAACAAAGATTACCTCCCGGTACTGCGGGGATGGAAAGCTGTGACACTGCTTTGCTTCCTCTTCTGGGAGGAGATTACGATACTGATGTCTCTGAATTCAATAGACAGATCACAGTTGCCCGCCCGGTCAAAACAGGGCTAAAATGGGCCAAGGCGGAGCTGGATATATCAGTCTCAGAATGACTTGGCGACACGCTCACTATGGAGACCAAAGTTTGAGCCCGAGAAGGAAGACTCGATTCCCCTGCTTCAGAAATGTAGCCTTGGTCTGGGATGTCCCTTGATGATTCCTCCAAGATGGGAGATGGGAGGGAGACATGGACAACGAGCGGCTCACAAGGCTGATGAGGTTTAGGAGCTCGCTTTGTTTTCTTTTGTTTGACCTTGTCCATATCCTTTTGCTTTTTACCAGATTGAGTCTTCACCGACACTGAAGAAGGCTTCGAGGTTGACATCGATACCGATGGTGATTTAAGCTTGGAAGCCTTGGTAGAAGACCTTGGCAATGGTGTAGGAGCCAACAGGATGGAAGACTCAGATTGAGACGGTGGAACTGGGGTAAGTTCCATTGTGGGGCTGGTTGGCAGACTGGAAGGTTCCAAAGATTTTTTCCCACAAGAGGGACCTCAGTCTTTTAAGCCAGAGTTTTAAAGCCAGTTTTGTTAGCTTTTTACACTCGACAAGTGTGAGTTTGGTGACTCTCGCCCAAGCAAAACATGCAATGATTGTGGCTGTCAGTAAAAGTTACTTTATTGGTACATGTCCTGCAGCGCTTGAAAAGGCCTGGGGAGGCCATTAAATAAGGGTGGGAAGGGTGGAAAATAAAGAAAAATAACTCACAGGGAATGTCCGTAAATGAAAAACTTGATCAAATTCATAATCCAAGAATCAAAAAACCATAAAGCAATCCAAAGATCAGAAAACCGTTAATCACAAATAGCTCTAGGAGTCAAAGAGAAGTCTGATTTCAGCGGCGGCTAAAAGGAACTGAGGTATTATGGGAGGGCGGACCATGTGCGCCACCGGGCAATGTCCTACTAATCACATCTTTTTAAGCTCTAGAATATTCTGAGGAATCCTGCACAGGTGCAGTAAAACCCATTTGTGTGGATTCAGAGGCCATGAAGAACTGATGGACATCAAAGTTGCTCAATGGCTGTAATGACATGGGGCACCTACAGCATTTATCATGCCTTAAGCAGCAGAAGTGGACTTTGAACAATGTTCTATTATGCATATTTACACATTTAATATTTATATGATTGAAGATGTAGATAAAAGTACGCATGAAGTACAGTTCTTACAGGTTTTGTGTTTGAAGTTGTAATATTGATGTAGAAAGGCTTAATGTATGCCTTTCTAATTAACAAATAATTAATGACTTTCTGCTTTCATGCAAACTTATTCAACAATAAATAGAAATAGCCTATCAGCTGTATTGTTTACTATTTACTCATTATTTTCAATCACATTACAGTGGCAAGTATATTTTCCTGTCCATAAATCTGTCTCAGACTAAGATTTTTAGACTACAATCCTAAGCATTCATACCTAGAATGCTGAACAGAAGAGGACTGATTTCTTTTGGTGAAAGAGGGGAAGTTCTGTCCTAATTGCTGTAAAGAGATCATATGAGACCAAGATGTTCATTAATTTTAATTTTCCTTATTCCCAACAAAATTAATGCAAGAGATTGTGACTTTCTATTACAATTGTCTGATGTGCCTTGGAAGCAGAAGTGATCAAGGGAGTAGCTAAGCTTATTTGCCTGACTTCTACAGAAGAGTTACTACCGTTAATAATTTCAGTACGCATCACCCTTCATAAACCCAGCTTTTGAGTGAAACCTTAATTCAATATTCTCTCTCCTTGAGCTTCCATAGGGCAACTTTTTTCTCCTCAAACTTTCAATTTAACTTCAAGATGCTAGGACAAGTGTTTCACAGGAACATAACAAATAACTGCAGATGTGTACAACCCACATATGAAGCTCAGCAAATGTATGTATCAACTACCGTGTTTCCCGAAAATAAGACAAGGTCTTATATTAATTTTTGCTCCAAAAAACACATTAGGGCTTATTTTCAGGGGATGTTTTATTTTTTAATGTACAACTATCTACATTTATTCAAATACAGTCATGTCGCCTTATTTTGGTTGCTGCACAATGGTGGGGGGTGGGGTTTCACTTAACTAGGGCTTATTTTAGGGGTAGGGCTTATATTATGAGCATCCTGAAAAATCATTCTATGGCTTATTTTCAGGTTAGGTCTTATTTTCAGGGAAACAGGGTATTGTGATTCACCACTGTGCAAAATAATACATTGTTTTCTCCAAGGCAATCTGTGGAATTTCCATCACTGAATATCAATAAATTAGAATTGCTTCAAGAAACATTCCTTCTTCCTGCCATGTTCCGTTTATCATTAGACGATCCAAATAGAAAAGTGAGGACTTCAAGTATTGGAACTCAAGTGCACAGAAGCACCAGATGATGAGCAAGAAGATAAGATACTGAAAAATGTTAGGAAGTGAGAGGAAGAGCGGCAAACAGATGAAAAGCTATGTGGCCCAGAAGAATAAAAAAATCAACAGCTGACAGGCCAGAGAAGTGAGAGGCTGTCTGAACCTTCAAGCAATATAAATATAACAACACAGAACCCTGGATGGAATACAGGAAAGCAGAGTGGCATGAGACTGTGGCTGCACACACAACCCTTTCTGGAAGTGAACATGACAAAAAACTGCATGCAGCTTACATTACTGAGAGTCAGAAAAAAAGGAAGCAGATAGTTGACCATGGACTTCACCTGCTGTCACAGAGAAAGAATACAGGCACAATGTGCTGGACAGTAAAGGAACAGGTTATCTAGCACATGTGTTATGAACCGCTAGAACAAGTAAAACGCATAGAATTCAATTACAAAAATTAATTCTAATAATGAAAGTCCAGCCCAAGAAGACTAGGGCAGCAACATACACGACTATCATAGTTTTTTCTTAAAAGGCGCCAAAATACTACCATTGTAGAGTAAATACATGGCGGTCATTTACATATCAGAAACGTGATCGTGCACATATATGCATTTGTGCAGCCAAATGAACATGGCACAGAAGACTAACCCACAGCTATCTAGCACATTCTCAAGCAAGCTCCAAATTTACACAATTTACAGAATGCTACAAACTGGTCATTTTCATAGAAGTATGCATGGATAGCTGGCATTCATTGCCACTCATCCTAACTAATATAACCTCTGATCAAAAAAAGTATTTGGATTGGAAAGTTAGAATAACACTTAGAAGTGTTTTCGACTAATTTGTAAATAATGTGATGGCACTCTGATATTGCTTGTATGGAGGAAATAAAGTTTGCGGATTATCACTATGCAGAGGCAGCTTGTACAACTCAAAACTTTTTAAAAAAAGAAAAACAGTACAGTGGGGTCTCTACTTAAGAACGTCCCTACTTAAGAACAATCCAACTTAAGAACAGCTCCATTTGCTAAATTTTGCTTCTACTTGAGAACAGAAATCCAAGATAAGAACAGGGAAAAAAACCTTTCCTGCTCTTTTTTTAACCTTAGGTCATCTTAGGTTAAAAAAAAATCTCCCCCTAGTGGTAGAGTACGTATTAACCAGCTTTGCATTAGTTCCTATGGGAACTAATGCTTCAATGTACGAACACACCTCTACATAACAAAAAAACAGCCAGAACGGATTAATTGTTCAGTCCATTCCTATGGGAAATTTTGCTTCAACTTAAGAACGTTTCAACTTAAGAACACCATTCCAAAACGGATTAAGTTCTTAAGTAGAGGTTCCACTGTAGTTTCTATGGACGGAAAAGAGCAGATACGGATTAAATGGTTTTCAATGCATTCCTATGGGAAATGCAGATTCAACATAAGAACTTTTCAACTTGAGAACCACCTTCCAATACGGATTAAGTTCTTAAGTAGAGACCCCACGGTACAGTATTAGGTTGTTTGTTACATTTAGATCTTTCTGAGAGCGTTCTTTTCAATTAATCATGAAGTAGGTTTTCTTTCTCATTTGTATTACAGATCATGGCAGCCTTGGGACTGGCTAAAACTGATGTCCCATTATTAAGAAGGACTGTTTACTAAACTGTTTACTAAAGAATCACTTAAAATGCAAACTAACCAACATCTATAATTTGATCTTACAGGACACGTGCCATTCATTCATTATCCACACAGGTTATTATCACAAATTTTGCTTTCTTAATCTTCACTATTCAAGCAACATATGAAACTTCAATTTTCCATTTGACAGAGAGTTAAAACATTGCAGCAGAAGTCAAGTATAGACAACAGAACCAATAGTTAACATGTTTCTTCTTAACTTTTGCATTCATCATTTTGCTGGTTAAAAAAACAAAAAAAATTACTGGAAACAAATGGAAAGTTCCTTGTGTTGGAAGCAGATTCCGGAAATCAGATCTCTCAAAACCTACCCAATCTGAAGTGCCCATTTGAATGTGATTCCATTAAAACAAATAATCTTTTAAGAACATGCCAAGAACAATCTGAAATGAAATTAAATGTTCTGACAGTTATCTAACTATCTCAACACTTCTGCACTAACTGACCTTTACTAACTGACCTTTACAGCCGCTTTCTTCCATCCCAAACAATGTCCTCATGCTCCCATTGTTCCTGGCATTATCTGTATTACTTTAAAAGTCTGTTTCTACTAAATTGTGCTTTCCTTTTCAACCAAGTTATTTAAAAAAAAACCACAACAATCTACACTGACTTTCAAAGTATTTTTATTACGTACCCTGATGGGGGAGGTTCATTAAGAATTAGTATTAATAAAATAACAAGATATATGCTCCTACATTTTTAAACACCCCTACACCTGGGTCTGGGCACCTGCCCAACCTGAGCACTCCACACTGGGAAATCCATAAGCTCCAAAAAGCTTACCTGAAACAGGCAGGAGCATACGTTTCAAAAAAATACTTTTAAAAATGAAAGTCAGATGGCTACAGCTTCCTCCAATAATGCCCCCAATACTTGTGGACAGTATTTCTAAATATAAATGGCTTTAGAGTATAGAAACGTTCTGGAGAAACCAAGATAAAAGCTGCAGTTGTTAGTGGCTTGTACAGTGGGGTCTTGACTTAAGAACGGCTTGAGTTAAGAACATTTTGACTTAAGAACCACTCTCATAGGAAAATATTGACTTGACTTAAGTACTTAGATTTGAGTTAAGAACTGAAAAAAACCCACATGGGAGGCAGGGAAAGTGCAAAATTTGAACTTTCAGTTAACTGTTGGCCAGTGAAAAGGATGCCTGTCTGCTTCCTCACTCCTCCCAGCGTTTAGAGAGTGGACTGGGAGACAGTCTTCAGACTGCCTGGTACTGTACTGCCTGGACTGTATTTTCCCTGCCTTCCCTGAACCTTTCTTGACCTAAGAAAAAAAGAAACAAAATATCCCCCTCTAGTGGTCGAAGGCGGAATAGCAGCTTCCCATTAGTTTCTATGGACGGAAAAGAGCAGATACGGATCAAATGGTT